CATGGTATGTCTTTCCATTTTTATAGGTCTCCTTTATTCTCTTGTAGTAGTGTTTTATAATTTTTATTGTATAATCTTTTATGTCCCTGGTTAGGTTAGTTCCTAGGTATTTTTATTCATTTAGGGGATATTGTAAATGGTATTGTTTCCTTGATTTCTTTTTCAGGGTACCCTTTGTTAGTGTAGAGGAACCCAACTGATTTTTGTGGGTTGATCTTGTACCCTGCAATATTGCTGAATTCTTTTAGTTCCAGCAGTTTTCTTGTGGAATCTTTAGGGTCTTCTTGTCTGCACATGATCATGTCATCTGCAAATAGAGATAGTTTCACTTTGTCTTTTGATTTGGATATTTTTTATTTCTCTGGCTAGGATTTCCAGTACAATGTTGAATAAGAGTGGTGATAATAGGCATCCTTTTCTCATTCCCATTCTCAAAGGGAAAGCTCTCAGCCTTTCTCCATTAAGTATAATGTTGGCTGTTGGTTTTGTGTACATGCCCTTAATTATATTGAGAAATTTCCCTTCTGTTCCTATTTTGCTGAGAGTTTTTATCAGGAAAAGGTGTTGAATTTTATCAAATGCCTTTTCTGCATCAATTGATATGATTATATGGTTCTTTTCCTTTGTTTTATGTATGTAGTTGATTATGATGATTGATTTTCTAATGTTGAACCACATTTGTAACTCTGGGATGAATCCCACTTGATCATGGTGTATGATATTTTTGATATGTTGCTCAAGTTTGTTGGCTTCTGTTTTGTTGATTCTTTCTATTGTTTTTCTGTTTTATTTATTTCTGCCCTGATCTTTATTATTTCTTTTTTTCTGGTAGCTTTTGGCTTCTTTTGCTCTTCCTTTTCTGTTTGTTCAAGTTGTCAGTTTAAGTTAATAATTTTCTATCTTTGTTCACTTTTAATGTAGGCATTTATTCTATGAATTTCCCCAAGTACTACTTTTGCTATGTCCCAAAGGTTTTGATATGTTGTGTTTCAATTTTCATTTGATTCTAGGAATTTTTTAAATTTCACTTTTGATTTCTTCTGTGACCCAATAGTGTTTTAGGAGTGTATTATTTAGTTTCCATGCATTTTTTTCCTTATTTTTACTGTTATTGATTTCTAGCTTCATAACATTAGGGTCAGAGAAGATGTTTTGTATGATTTCTTTGTTAAGACTTGTTTTGTGTCCTAGCATGTGGTCTATTCTGGAAAATGATCCACATGTGCTGGAAAAGAATGTATATTGTTCTGATACTGGGTGTAGTGTTCTATATATGTTTGTTAGATCATTGGCTTATGGTTTATCTAAGTTGTCAATATCTTTAGTGATCTTCTTTTTAGATGTTCTGTCTATAATTGAAAGTGGTGTATTGAAGTCCCCTATTTTTATGGAGTTGTCTATTTCTCCTTTCATATTAATATTTGTTTCATGAGTTTTGGGGCATTGCTGTTAGGTGCATATATATTTATAATTGTTATGTCTTCTTCTGGATTGATCCTTTTATTATTATGTAATATCCTTCTTTATATCTTGTAATAGATTTTGACTTAAAGTCTATTTTATCGAATATCAGTATGGCCACCCCTGCTCTTTTTTGTTTAGTGATTGCATGGAATATTTTTTCTCCATCCTTTTATTTTCAGTCTGTTTGTGTCCTTTTGTCTATGATGTGTTTCTCAGAGACAGCAAAAGGATGGATCATGATTTTTTTTATCCATTCTGCCTTTTGCATGGAGTATTTAGAACCTTTACATTCAAGGTTATTACTGAAAATGAAGTGTCCACCTCACTTATTTTGCTGTTTTGCTTTTTGAGTGTTTCGTATCTTCTTTGTTTTTTAATTCTGATTTTTCTGTTTTTGTTGGTATTTGGCTGCCTTCTTGTGATGAACCTTTTTGTTTTCTTCTGAGTATTTTTTCTCAGTGATTTCTTAGTGGTTACTACATATGTTACATTACACAACTTACAATTTCAACAATGTTTAATATATGAACAACAGTTAACAAACAACCTTAACATATTAAATCTATTCCTGATATGCTCCTCCCTCTTCCATTTCTGTTGGTATGTCTCCATTAACACCAATATACAACCTATATTTGATAAGTTTACTTTGTACTTATTTTTTACAAACTTGATGTTGTATTGTTTGCAGGATTTAGTTATTGAGTTTATTTCCTGAAGATATCATATGCTTAGTCCTTATGATTGCCCATGTTGTTGCATTTTTTGGAGATCTCTCTCTCTCTCTCTCCCTTATTTTTTATTTATATTTTTCCCTTGTAGAGATACAAGTATTTATTTAATACTTTTGCCTTTCCATTTGGAGTACTCCCTTGAGTAATACTTGCAAAACTGGTCTGGTAGTGGCAAATTCCCAGCGCCTCTGTTTATTTAGGAATGTTTTGATTTCCCCCTCATTTTTGAATAACAATTTTGCTGAGTAAAGAATTCTTGGTTGGCAATTGTTTTTGTTCAGTATTTTATATATGTTGCTCCATTATCTTCTGGCCTCTAGAGTTTCTGGGGAGAAATCTGCACTGATTCTTATGAAAGACCCTTGGCATGTTATATTACGTTTTTCTCACTGCTTTCAGAATTCTCTCCTTGTCTCTAGTTTTCAAGAATTTTATTATGATATGGCATGGAGTTTATCTTTTTGTATTTCTTCTAACTGGGGTTTGTGTACCTTCTTATATTTGCAGGCTTGGTTTTCTGTTCAGGTCTGGGAAATTCTGATTATCTCTTGGAAAATCCTTACTATGCCTTTATTGTTGTCATGGTGCTCTGGGATTACAATAATTCCGATGTTAGATTTCTTAATTGAATCCCATATTTCCATTTGGGTTTGCTTGCTTTTCCTTGTTCTTTTCTCTTGTTTCTCTTGAGACTTGATAAGTTCAATTATTTTGTCTTCTAGTTTATCCTATCTTCTGTCTGATTGACTATTGTTGAGTGTTTCTCTTTTTTTTTTTTTTTTTTGTAATTCAGTTGCTTTATTCTTCAGTTCCAGTAGTTCTTTTTTCTTTATTTTTTCAATTTCCTTGTTAAGTCTCTCATTTTGTTCCTCCATTTGTTTCCTGATCTCTGCTAGTTTGTTTTATGTATGGCCTTTGCTTTCTTTAAACATATTTAGCACCATAGTCTAAAAATTTTAAATTTTTTGCCATTAATCTGACCTCCATAGGGGAAATTTCCTTTTCTTCCTGTTTTACTTTTGATTAGTCCTTCTCGTGATTGTGTTGTACCATTTTTTTTTTTGTTGAACATAGACCATTCTGTTATCTTTTTTTTTTTAACTTTAAATCCTGTTTTCTGATTTTTGTGGGAAATTTTTCTGATTGGGCACCCTGGTTGCACAGCAGCCAAGTGCCTGACTACCAGCTGGAAGGTTGGTGGCCTGCACCCACCAGCTGCTCTGCGGGAGTAAGGTGTGGCAGTCTGCCTCTGCAAAGACTCACAGCCCTGGGAACCCCACAGGGCAGCTCCATTCCACCCCACAGGGACACCACAAGTCAAAATAGACCAGATGGCAGTGGACTTGGAGGAAGCAGAGAAGGAACAGTCAGAAGAATAGTAGAAGAAGCAGGGAATGCAGTGTTTGGGGGTAAAAGGAGGAGAAAATTTCAGAAAATAAATGATGACTAATTATACTTACACTCCTTGAGAGGAGGGAAGATCATCTATGCATTTCAGTATTCCCTACAACAGGTATGGTATAATGTTTCACATACCCTCAGTGTTCAATACATATAGACTGACAGTCTATATAGTGTGTAGTGCTACAGAAAGTTTGATGAGTCTGAAGACTGTGAAAGACCTGTCTTAGTTTCTTAATGCTGTTGTAACAGAAATACCACAAGTGGGTGGCTTTAACGAACAGAAATTTATTTTCCTTACGTTTTAGGAGACTGGAAATCTGAATTCAGGGCAACAGCTCTAGAGGAAGGTTTTCCCTCTCCATCAGCTCTGGGGGAAGGTCATTGTCTCTTTTCAGCTTCTGTTCCTTGGTTCCTTGGCTATCTTCATGCGATGTGTATGTTCCCCTCCATTTGTGCTTCCTTCTCTTTGTCTAATCTGTTCCTTTAATATCTCATATGTGATTGGTCTGAGACACACCCAACACTGATCTGATCTCATTAACATAACAAAGAAAGTCCCATTCCTAAATAGGATTATATCCACAGGCACAGGGGCTTAGGATTTACAACACACATTTTGGAGGGACACAATTCAGTCCATAACAGACCATTTTTGAGTTGTGATCTGGAGAGCCCTGGTTATTGCTCCCATATTATGAATTTCTGGCCTTTAAGGAAAATAAAGAACAAAGATCTTCATCTTCAACAGAGATTAACATACAAGCAACACTGCCTCTAGGCCACATGCCCTGTTGGACCACAAATGTACAAGTGTCTGGTTTTATAATAATATGTTCTGTCATTCAGCACTCTGTATCCTTTTATGATGAACAGGGAAGTAGAGGCAACCCAGATGTCCATATCCAGGAGAACAGAGAAGTACAGTGTGGTGGGTGCATGTAGTGAAATAGTAAACAGCTGTCTGACGCCCTGTACTACAGTGGACATGTGGTAACACAGTGCTATCTTGTAAACATAATATCCAGTGAAAAAAGTAAGAAAAAAGAACAAGAGCCAGAGCACAGCACCATCTATGTAAATAAAAATACACTCTAATAACACTGTTCAGCATAACATAAGGATACATAGATAGCCAAAGACATATTTACTAGAGTGGATGCCTCCTGGGGATAGTAAGGGAATAAGAATGAGAATGGGGGTGAAGGAGAAAATAAAATAAAATAAAAGAAGGACCTTGAAAGGATCAGTGAAGAAGGGTGTGATTAATTTGTACCTTGTTCTGGACAAAAAACAAAAAACAAAAAAAAAAAAAAGGAGGGGGGCATATGTGGTGGGCATTTTTGCAAATCTAAAAATAACTAAATGCAATAAAAGACTCACACAATAATCACTGACAGCAAGTATATAAGTTTTACATTTATTGTGATCAATGGCAAACAAAAATACAGAAATAACATGTATTATGTATAGTAAAATTCATGCATATCATAAAGTCCATTTTGGGGGGCCTCAACTACATGGCTCAAAGTGACATCGGGTGTTTTGGGATTAGCATAAAGGGTGGGCTATCTGTCACAATAGGAAGAGACAGAGTACACAGGATTCCACATACAGGTTCTTTCAACACAGAAAAGCATCCCACAAGTCAGAACCGAATCTAATACTTGAGACTATTAGCTAAGGCATTACATATTATATGAGATGATTACCAAGCAGGAATCCAGTATTGACATTTGAATTCTAGACTAATAGTTACATTTACTACTCTTTATCATTAAAAATGTATGTTCTAGCAAATTATCTTTCTACGCCTTCAAAAAATGAGAGGTAAAGTCCAACTTGAACATATCAGTGAGGATATTCCCCAAAACAATCACTGGCAGAAAATAGGAATTGAGAGAAAGAGATCGTTTACTTTTATACACAATGAAGGAACCATGATTTCACATGCAGTGAAATCAGAATCAGAATTTTGCCCTTCTCACTGTTTCCGAATTGGAAATTAGACTCAGTAAGACGTGCAACCCCCCGGTAGGAAGCTCCATTGCAGGTCTGGGTAACTAATGAGGAGAGCACTGTGTCTTTTCCTTTACTGCTCTCAACACAGAATTCCATTTGCTATTCCTTTGTTCTAACTGCTCTTTTTTAAACTTGTCTTGAAAAGAACTGTGGTTATCTTCATCCTCTGTTTCTGAGATGATCTCCATCTTCTGAATGATAAGTTTAATGAGCTCATGCTGTTTTTCCAGAAGAGAAGTGAGATCCTTTAGCCTAAAAGACATATATATTTCATGAATTGATTTTCAATTATACTTTTAGCCCTTCTGAGTATAGGAGGGCCTAGGGACTAGAAGTGTTCTATGTCAGATTTACTGTACTCAGGTTACATCCTCAGGGTAGACGTAATCCTTCTAAGGAATACATATTTTTGAAGTTTGCCAAAATAAAGCATCACAGAATCCTAGAACCGTGTTGTTGTTGTTGTTGGGTGCCCTTGAGTTGGTTCTGACTCACAGCGACACTACGGATAACAGAATTGTGTAGATCCTTAAAAATCTCCAAGGCTACAGAAAGTTTAAGTGATTTTTCCCAAGATTACACTGTTAGTTCACAGCTAGTTTATTTTTGTTCCCATTTTAAAGATTAAGATACTGTTGCACAGATAGGTTAAGTAGCTTGCTCAGAGTCACACAGTAAGTAGTTGAGTAGGGCTTTTAACCCAGGAAACTAACCCTAAGGCCCTCATGCTTAAGAACTGCACACTATATAGCTTCTCCAGAGATTCCCAGAAGCCTTCAGAGCTTTGATACATGATGTATGAATGCAGGTGGCTCATGAAGAACACATTTTAGACTACTGTCCCCAATATTGGAGCCCTGGTGGCGCAGTGGTTAGGAGCTGTGGCCGCTAACCAAAAGGTTGGCAGTTCGAATCCACCAGCTGCTCCTTGGAAACCCTATGGGGCAGTTCTACTCTGTCCTATTGGGTTGCTATGAGTCGGAATTGACTTGACGGCAACGGGTTTGGTCCGGTTTTTTGATTTGCCCCCAGTATTAAGTAAATCAGCATTTTACTTTTCATTTACTTATTGCTTAGAAGGCAAAGTGATTCATCAACAGCAATAAATAAGTTGCTGAGTCTAAAATATGTCCCCTGATATTTGATAGACTAGCAACATCATTCAATAAAGCATGACTTCATATGTTGTTGTTAGCTGCCATTGAGTCAGCCCCTGGCTCATGGTGACCCCATGCACAACAGTATCAGACACTTGTGATCCACAGGATTTTCACTGGCTGATTTTCAGAAGTAGATCGCCAGGCCTCTCTTCCTCATCTGTCTCAGTCTGGAAGTTCTGCTGAAACCTGTTCAGCATCATAGCAACATGCAAGCCTCTAATGACAGACGAGTGGTGGACGAGCTCGGTGGCTGCATTGACTGGGAAGTAACCCTGGGTCTCCTGCATGGAAGGCAAGAATTCTACCACTGAGCCACCGCTGTCCCCAGATGACTTCATATATGAGACAAATAAACAAAATTATAGATATAACCTTATACCATACATCATTCTTTCAGAATTTTAAGTTTCTCAAATACAGATGGAAGGAAAAATACATACCGGTATTTCTGCTTCAATATTTCTGTTTCTAAAGATGTATCATCATTTGGTGTTTCTTGCCTTGCTTCTTGGATGGAGAACATATAATGAAATATACACTGTGGGTTAAAACATAACAGTTACTCAAGTTGAGCTCGATTGAGGAAATATTTCTTGACCACATGCCGTAACTCACCCATTGCACCGATTGCACTAGCGTAAATATTCGTAAGGCACAGCCTTGACCCTAGAGGAACTCAGTCTGTTACAAGAAACAGAAAAGTAAAGAGCTCTAAAACAAAGCCATACATATTACAACAGAAGAAAGTGTGAGAACTAGAAATAATACAGAAGAAGGGAACCTGGGATTGGAGATTGTTTAGGAAAGGGCTTCACTGAATCACTTTATAATTTCCTAAGAAAAATGTCCATCCTAAGTGGTGTCCTTCCATACAGGATTATTTGTTAACCCTTGAAAACTGCTCTGCACCATTATCCATCACCATGGAATCAATCAACAAAATTTCACATGGGGAAATTTCCAAGAAGTTGTCTTATTCATTTTTGTTGTAATTTAGTGTCTTTTAAACCATGGACTGACTGAAGAGAATCAAGGGCAGATGTGAACTGACCAGTGATCAAGTAATTCTAGAAGCTCAGGCAAGAGAAGGTGGGGACTAGCACAGGCTACCCTGGAGGTCAAATGGACAAAACATGGGCATTGAGTGGACACGCTGCTGTCAAGGATGAGTACTGGGTGGCTGGGTGCATAGGCAAATGAATGGTGTGGATGTTAACTGAGATAAGGAACTTCGAAGAAGAACCAGGATTCTTTCTCTTTTTCTGCAGAAGATGTGGGGATGGAGACATGGGAGCAGTGAAGATCATGAGTCTGGTTTGGAACATGCTGAATGTGAGGTGACTTTGAGACATACAAATGGAGATGTCAAAGAGGCAGTTGGGTGTATGGGCCTGGGACGCAAACGAGACCTAATTGCTGAACATTCTGTGGTTAGGCAGTAATTTCAACTATGGGTATGAGTAAAATCAGATAGGGTGGGCGTGTGGAGTTAAAAGAAAGTCTAGCCTCATACTTAGATTGACTTCAACATTTTATGACAGAGGAAAATTAACCTGCAACAAACTCAGAAAGAGCACTCCTAAAGGTGGGGGGAATCTCAGGTCTCCTGACTCTAGAACAGGCCCTTTTCTATTAGCATGCAATGGCCTCTGCTTACTTTTTGAGCACCCTGTGTATTTCCTATAAGGCACCCACACACGTACATATACATGTATCTGCACAAAAATATAAGTGACAGGTGACGACGAGAAACAAAGGATGCCTGTACTGTGAAAAAGACACTTTAAATGGTACAGCCGGGCCACCCACCCACCTGTTCTCCTAGGGGCGTGGTGCGTGTTCAACACAGATGCTACATATGAGCCGCCTGCAAGAGGGAAACAAACGTCTCCCTCCCCATTGCCCATCACCTTCACCTCAGCTATTTCCCATTGGCAGAGCAGACTCAAAGCCTATAAAAAGGTACCCTTACGGACAGCATAAAACGAATGCCAAGTAGTATCACGTTACTTATGCAGCTATTTGCTACACACTTACTATTAGCCCCCCTTGGTATTTGGGTCTGTTGGGGTAGACGATGATGTTCTGCTGATCCACTTTGCGTAGGAAGTAGAGCGGCAGTTTCTTCTCTAAGCTGGTATGAAGTTTCACCTAAAATTCGTTGTGGGTTTATTGATAGGAATTATTGTTAGCATCTGGAATTCTTACACTGCACAGACTAGTCATTAATACAACGAAAGGAAGCTGACTCCTGTGTCCTGAGTTGTGTCTCTGAGCCCGGGCCCAGTCACCTCCCCCCACCTTTCACCTCACCCACTGACAAGGGCAGCAATCTACAGCCGGGTGGGGGGCAGGTTGTTTAAAGGAGAAATTCAGTTTACGTCAGCAGATACTGATGGTGCAGGGGACTGGAATAGTCACTGGGGGATATAAAGAAGAAAAGGACTCAGTACACACTCTGGGGCCGGTGACAATACTGGGAAATGGGAGTGGTCTGAATGCCACAAAACCAAACCCATTGCCATTGAGTCCATTCCGACTCATGTACCTTTAATAAGAAGAAGAAGCTGGGAAAATACAAAGGTAACCAGTGGAAGTATTAGAGCTAGCATGTCTCAGAGCATTTTAGACGTCTTTAATGCTGTGCTATTAGGTGCAAAAGAGTTCGTCCATAATGTCTCTTGAGTATAATTTCTGTTTTGTAGAGATAGTCTTTTGCCTTGTTTAATATTTTTACCTTGCATTTATACTTAGTTTAATTCTTCTATTGTGAATCTTTGTTTTGGTATGTGTTTGTCAAATTTATCTTCGACTTTTTTTTTTATAGCCCTTCATGTCTGTTGTTTAGATGTGCTTACTGTAATCTCCACGTAGTGAGATTTTTCTTTCTGAGACCACATGCTTTTTAATATGGGCATTTAACTGATGTAGATTCATAAATGGTGAGGTAGTAAGGACCTCCCTGACCACACCGTTTCAAATTATAGTCCCCAGACCCCAGATAACACACTCCCTATCTGTCTTCTCTGCTATTTTTATAGTACTTATCACCATTTAACCTACTATATATTTTCTTTATTATTTACTGTCTTTGGTCTCCCAAAAGAATAGAAGCTACATATCTTTTTTCTGTTTTCTGCTGGCTCTCCAGCTCCTAGAATGTGCCTGGAGCATAATAAGTGCTCAAGATAGATCTCTTGAATGAAAGAATTACTATTACTCTTCAGTTTGATCCTATTTCAGTCATCCTTTTTGTTTTTGTTTTGTATTGTTTTTATTTCCTTGCTCTTTACCATATATATGTGTGTGCATATATACTAATTGTGCTTACTGATTATATTACCTGGTATCTCTAAGCTGATGCAAGTCATACACAAATCAGTATTCTGTAATTATGACGTCAAAGAGCAGCCAATAACCTTTAACTCTCTCTTACAGAAATTAAGAGATTTAAGTGTGCTTTTGATTTCTCTGCTTTTCTTTCCTCTGCTTTCTGCCTTTTCTAACTAAATCAGGAACAAGAACCTGTGATTGCTATACTTTTTTAAAATATAAAATTTTCTATTGCCAGATGTTTAAAATTTCTGAACTAAATTTATTAACCACATATATAATTATTTACACAAGTTTGATTGTTTAATCGGTTTCAGTATTTACCACGATTACTTTTATACTAATTCCCCAGAGTTCTTGACTTTGATTCATTTCTTATTTGATTACTGTGGATCTCAGGAGATAAGTTTTTGGAGACCTACCGAATCTAAAAACAACACAAGAGCCTTCACACATGAATAACGACTTGGCTGGTGGGTGTTGTTCTTGAGTTACAACATTTTACCTGCAAACTCTTTGCCATCTCTTTCATTATCACCTGGCCCTTAGTATTCAAGAGGAGAATTTTGAAGGAGGCACGATTTTTCTTCCTTTGAAGTTATTCTATGTTTTACACTTGAGAATTTCTGCCTTTTTTCCCCCTTAAACCTCAAGCATCAAAACAGTTGTGAAGATATGCTTAGGAGTGAGTCCTTTCTCGTGAATTTTGTCTGATATACAGTGAGTATTCTCAATCTGAAAATTCACTTTATTTTTCTAGTAACTTTTTCTCTTTTGCATTATTTGGGAATTCTTATTAGTTAAAACTTTAATCCTACTCTCCATATTTTTTTTTTTTATTGTACTTCAGGTGAAGGCTTACAGAACAAATAGTTTCTCATGAACAGAAGTACACATGTTGTTTTATGACATTGGTTAACAACCCCCCAACATATCAACCCTCTAAATTCTCAACCTTTTTTTTTTTTTGGTGAAAATACACATAGCCAAAGATACACCATTTCAAAAA